CCGGAAAGCCTCGGAGATGCGCAGCACGTGCGAGTACTCCTCCAGCTCGAGGCGGTTGTGCCGCAGCGTGTCCTGGTTGCGGCTCACCTCGCGCAGGTCCCCCTCGAGCTTCTCCGACTCCGTCTGAGCCACACGCGCGCAGCGGTGCGCGCACGCGTAAACACGACGACAAATAATCCTCCGTCTAGTCTGTACCTCCCTCTAATCTATGATTTGTTAACCCAGCAGCAAAGCCACACTGAGTCTTACGATTCTTTTTCAGAAGGGTCCTGCAAAGTTTGTTTGCGGTAAGGGGGCGACGTTGCTACGTGTAATCCCAAATAGCAACACGGCCCTCGATTGTGAAAACTAGATAACCCTTCTGAAAAAAAGTGTAATCCTAGTTCACAGGTAATAAATATACTTCACCACGCTGGTTATTTGCATATACATTTGTTTTATCAGTTTCAGCCTTGACGAGCTCATATGGGATGTCTGGCCAATACCAGTTACATTGTATGGGATTTTTGTTGAGCTATAGGAGGAAACCGAATAACCCCGAGGAAACCCACAGAACAGCGGAGAACATAAAGCTCCATACAGAAAGGCACCCGAGTCGCGAATCGAACTCAGGAGCTTCTTGGGGTGAGACACAAGCGTTACCACTGCCACAACCACGGTCACTGTTCCCATCATTTTCACTCACCGATGTTGGGACTGACCATTTATCTCATCCATACGTGTTCAACCGTGCTCATTACTTCTCCCTCTACTCCAGCCTCCTCACGACCATCTACTCAATGCGATCATTTACACGTAGCTGCATAAGAATTAGCAGTCTGCCTCCAGCAGCGGATCGATAATGGATGATCAGGATGACAATGATTCGAGAGTATCAACAGACCGGACAGTCCTGGCTGACACAGCGAAGACGGACCTGTATCTGCAGCAAGTCACGGGCCAGAGGAGCGCGAGGATTCCCGCTCGTCAGAGGCAGCGCGACGCCGGCCTTCGTGATCTCCTTCTCGATGTAATCTGGGCGATGGCCGACAGGGGCAGGCGGAGACACGGGCAAATAAAGCATGCCGTTACCGTTTGTCATCACGTTGAGAGACACCAACGCAAGGGATCAGAAAAACAAGTGAGAGACATCGGATTGACCGTTGAGAAAAGTAACAGGCAACGATCATTAGTGACGGCGTGGAGAAGAGAAGTAAAAACACAAATTCTGTTCCCTCCTCCCACATCTTTCTCTGCGCATAAAGTAAAGTATTTATTTTAACACGTCCCATCGGTCGAACGGCCCTTCTGGTAGTGCATTTTTTCAGCAGCAATTCATTTAAAAACAAAAGTGTATTGCTTATGTGGGGAAACAGCCGTGTGCTTCTTAATGAATAAAAGCGGGTTTTTGGGCAGGCATGATGGTCGATAACAACACGGCATCCACTCTGGATATGGAGCGAGGAAATCAGTTTGTGTGCAGGTGTCAGGTGGATTGCTTCATCCCAAGAATGTGAGATATGGATGATGACTTGGGGAGACCACCCAGCAGTGGAGTGATCATGGCTGATGATGATCACGTCTTATGTTCTCAATAAACCTGAATATAATGCAAGTTAAAACCAAGCCATGAATGCAAACATCACAATTGAGCCAAGACAGTTGCAAGAAATATAAATGTTTGGCAAGTATATGAAGTATTCCATCCTGTGAAGCTAGGAAAACATAAACCACAAGTCCCTAATTTTCCACAATTACACTCACTGAGAATTTTCTCCATGTCCTCGCACCTCCTGATGTCCGTCACGTGCTTCCGCTGAAAGGCGCTCACTTGTGCGTTCAACTGAAGACCAAGCACATGACACACAAGAGACAAATGACAAAGATCTTGCTATAGCCGTAAAAATAGCTGGGGCACGTGCTGTGAGCAACACTCCACTATGACCGGCATGACGCACAAGCCGGTGGTGTGGGCAGAACCATGCTCGGCTGCCTTCGTCTTCGCCAGCGGCGATGCTTACACGCAACTCTGGGAACTCATTTAAGGCTGGGTTGAGCTGGGGGAAGGCCCAGGACCGGTAAAAAAAAACCCTCGCCACTGACATTAGCCATGGCCCGGAAGGGAACTCAAGTCGCCAGGTTGGTAGCACAGTGCGCTAACCACTGCGCCATCGTCCCCCCACTCCAAAAGCACACACTCACCACTGGTCCGCAAGGCACAAGCAGATACAAATCACTTTTGACATAAGCCTCCGATGCTCAAATAACAATTTAAATTTTTCACATTCACAACATACCCGCTGGGCTTTCGTGGGAAAACCAGGGTGCAATATTTTTTACAATGCCCAAAAGTGATTTTATATCCCACAGCACAATGAGACCGCCTCAAGCGAGCACAGTTTGTAGTGAATGGCTATGAACAATATATCATCAGAATCCTAGCAACGGAATTACTTTTGTCCTTGTGGATGCGAGGGGAAAGGGAAGATTTTGACAGAAAAGCCTTCGGGACCATTCAACATAATAATAATAATTTACAGATCTTTGTCAATTAAATGTTGGTTGAAGGCCTTTGTAAACTGTCAGTCAAGGAAGTTATTTTACCATACTTCACCATGCTGGTCAGTGTGGCTTGGTGAAGGGGAAGTCCAGGTTCTGATATCAATCACCACTCATGAGCCGTGATCAGGAATCAAACTTAGGTCATAGGGCTCATAGTGCAGTGCGTGAGCTATTGCACCACCGTTTAACCCCATTGAACATTATCAGCATTTATAAACAGTTTAGAATCCATGCATCAGAAGGTCAAAATGTCACCATTGCCAATAACGCTGATGCCTGTACAATATCACAATCGCCAAAGCCTGTGGTTTTATTTTACTAAGTCAACACCTAATCACCAAGTTCCACTCGTGCAGTTTGCTACCGTGTGGATTCTTGTTTCCCCTTTGGTTTCTGCCCTCATTGGGCAAAAGTTCAAGCCGAGCTGGGCATCGTGGCTCAAGAGCTCGTGCACCGCGGAGATGGAGTGATATTCCCTGCACCGTCCTCCTCCTCCTCCCCCCTAGGATTATCCCGTGCACTCAAAACAAAAAGCGAGCGACTACTGTCCCCACAGATGCAGGGAAGGAAACAGAGATTAAAGCTTAACCATCTCTAAAGATATTCACCCAATCATAGCCCATATTTTTGTCCAATCACAGACCTGCCTTGGGCTGTCCTTCCCCATTAGCAGCCCTTTCTAATTCCTATTTGAATTAGCTTTTTATTACCCACACGATCTAACCCAGAAGAGAAATTGCGAATCGTGACATTGGTCAACAGAAATCAATGCCTTGCAGTCGGCAAAGAGGTTTGAGATGCGGTCGCATTGGTAACGCACTTGAGAGACCGTTTTAGACTGGAGCTGTACATACATCTCTGAACTCCACCAGACCCATCTCTCCCAGCTCGCTCATGCAGCTGTAGGCGGTGCCGTCCTGCAGGAACAGCTGGGCCAAGCACATCTCCTCGCTGCGGAAAATGGAGCCCATCTCTGCTACTGGTGGCCACCACCACCACCTCCTTCACCTCCTCCTAGCTGGCGGTGCGCCAGCCGAGGCTGGATTCCTGTGACACGCGTGCAGCGTTAACGAGATAGCACAGCAAGTGGGTTAGTTAAAACCACCTGTGAACGCGTGGCAAGACAGCGTGCGTCTTGGATGAAAAGTAAAATCTGGCGATGGGGAAAATGTAAAATGCTACTGTACATGTGTGCAGTGTGGCATGGAATCACTTGTATATGGAGAGGAAATATGTTTAGGCACAACAATGAAGAATGATGGTAGACCACGAAAATTGGAGTTGAGAAAAACCGAGTTACACTTGTGACGAGTGAAGAACTGGTTAGCTGAAAACCCGGCTACCCGAGTTTGATTCCTAGCCACGGCTAACACGAGTGGTGAGTGATATCTGAAACGAACATCCTACGTGGCAAAGCTTGGAGAGGCCTTCATCCAGCAGTGGATCAACCAAAGTGTATTAATCAAGGCTAACGACACGCACCGTTACAGAAGTTGCCGACTCGCATATCACCGAATGTGTCTCGGGTATCGCTGGCAGTCAGGAGGAGGTGGCGCGTGACTCGTCGCCACAGCCAGACTGAGATGTCCTCCTGACGTTCTACCAGACGCGGAAATATTTCACAGAGCCGGTTGAACTGCTTGATGAGGCTCAATGATGTGGGCTCTCACGTCGTTCTAGAGACGTGTGTCTAAGTGAGGCTCCACTCCCCAGAGCGACGTGGAGCGGCGATTATTGCCGGTGGACACAGCATCGCCGGGGTCACGGTTCGACTACAACGGCCGCCCTGATTAATACTACGATGTGGGGAGCGGTGGGGTATGAACCATAAGTAAAGATACCACGCGCAGTACGCTTCGCAGTCGAGGGTCCTGTGAAGTCAGGGTTCAAATGTGATAACAGAGTACACCCGATAATGCTCGACTGGGATGACACAGCAACAACAATCAGAATCACTATTTATACTGGAGGAATCCGATGAGCTATAAAGCACAAGGGGCTGGGTCAGAACGTTAAGAGTTGAGGCCTTGCCGGGCAGTGAAGCCGTCAATTCAAAAACTCTGAACCGCGGCGACGGATGCCAATGTACTGTACTCGAGTACAGTGCGCAGAGTACAGTACTCGAGTACAGTGCGCAGAGTACAGAGCGATGCAGTCCACGCACGCAAAGGAGAAGATAACGCATGTACAGTGCGTACAGTATGGTTTCGTGATTGCGTGTAGTACAGATGTCTAGCAGCGCACGTGTTCACAGTACGAGCAGCGTGCGTCTGGCGTGTTCTGTGCAACAGCGCGTGCTGTATTGTAGTGTACTGCAGGTGTGCAGTACAGTGGGTGACGATGTACTGTAGGTAGGTGTACTGTATAGTGGGCGACGGTGTACAGTAGCTAGGTGTACAGTAGCTAGGTGTACAGTAGCTCGTGTGTCAGTGTCGTTGTGTTGGCGATGGTTGAGCGAGGCCGATTGCGCGCAGCGACCAACTTGAGAGTGGCGAGTCGCGCGCAACGTCGCTGCAGTCGCGGGCAGTGGAGGCGTAAAGTGACGAGGTGTGTGTGTGTGTGTCACGAGGTGTGTGTGTGTGTGTCACGAGGTGTGTGTGTGTGTGTCACGAGGTGTGTGTGTGTGTGTCACGAGGTGTGTGTGTCACGAGGTGGCGTGTGTAACGAGGTGTGTGTGTAACGAGGTGTGTGTAACGAGGTGTGTGTATGTAACGAGGAGGTAACGAGGTGTGTGTGTGTAACGAGGAGGTAACGATGTGTGTGTATGTAACGAGGAGGTAACGAGGTGTGTGTGTAACGAGGTGGTGTGTGTAACGAGGAGGCAGGGCGCCGTCGTGACCTGTCAATGGGCACTCGCCGTGATGGTGACTGGCGGGGTAGTGGAGGTTGTCAGCGCGTGTTATCTTGTTGTAACCGGTGAAGAATATTTCGTAGTAAGGAGGTGAGTAGCAATTCGATGTCGTGTGGAGTAGCTTGTGGTGACGAGGTGAGTAGTGGTGAGTAGTGGTGGTGAGGGGTGGTGATGAGGTGAGTGGTGAGTAGTTGTGGTGACGAGGTGAGTAGTAGTGTGGAGTAGCTTGTGGTGATGGGGTGAGGGGTGGTGACGAGGTGAGTAGCTTGTGGTGACGAGGTGAGTAGCTTGAGCTGATGAGGCGAGTAGCTTGTGGTGACGAGGTGAGTAGTGGTGAGGGGTAGCTTGAGGTGAATAGTAGTGAGGGGTAGCTTGTAGTGACGAGGTGAGTAGCTTGTGGTGACGAGGTGAGTAGCTTGTGGTGACGAGGTGAGTAGTGGTGGTGACGAGGTGAGTAGTGGTGGTGACGAGGTGAGTGGTGAGGGGTAGCTTGAGGTGAGTAGTGGTGAGGGGTGGTGACGAGGTGAGTAGCTTGTAGTGACGAGGTGAGTAGTGGTGAGGGGTGGTGACGACGTGACGATGTGAGTGGTGAGTGGTAGCTTGAGGTGATTAGTGGTGAGGGGTGGTGACGATGTGAGTGGTGAGGGGTGGTGACGATGTGAGTGGTGAGGGGTGGTGACGAGGTGACGATGTGAGTGGTGAGTGGTAGCTTGAGGTGATTAGTGGTGAGGGGTGGTGACGATGTGAGTGGTGAGGGGTGAGGGGTGGTGACGACGTGACGAGGTGAGTGGTGAGGGGTGCGAGTGAGATGAGAGTGAACGAGGTGACTTCTGTCGTGACGCGGCAGCAGGGAGGGGGTGAGGGGAGGAGGTGAAGGGGGCGGGGCTCCACCCCGCATCGCTTCCGCCTCGCGCTGCTATCGCGAGACGCCTTCCTCTCGCGAGGTTTCCTTTCCCGGAGCCATCGCCTCTGTCTCACAACAAAGGCGCGCAGAGGCGCGTGTTTTCAATCGTGGCGGTGGGTGGGGGGCAACACAATAAACACCGTCCACCGCCACATCATCATCCACCACCAACTCCACAACCACCGCAATCACCATCACCACCACAATCACCATCACCACCACAATCACCAACTCCACTACTACAATCACTAACTCCACCACCACCACAATCATCGACTCCACCACCACAATCACCATCTCCATCACCACAATCACCAACTCCACCACAATCACTAACTCCACCACCACCACAACCACCGCAATCACCAACTCCACCACCGCAACCACCAACTCCATCACAATCACCAACTCCACCACAATCACTAACTCCACCACCAACTCCACCACCGCAACCACCAACTCCATCACAACCACCACAATCACCATCTCCATCACCATAATCACCAACTCCACCACCACAATCACTCCACCACCCACCACAATCATCGACTCCACCACCACAATCACCAACTCCACCACTACAATCACCAACTACACCACCACAATCACTAACTCCACCACCACCACCACAACCAACTCCATCACAACCACCACAATCACCATCTCCATCACCACAATCACCAACTCCACCACCACAATCACTAACTCCACCACCACCACAATCATCGACTCCACCACCACAATCACCAACTCCACCACTACAATCACTAACTCCACCACCACAATCACTAACTCCACCACTACAATCACCAACTACACCACCACAGCCACCACAACCACTGACTCCACCACCACCACAATCACTGACTCCACCACCATAATAATCACCAACTCCACCACAGTTACCACCATCACCGACACCACTGCCATTTACTGCATTGAACCCAGATTGCCGATTTCACAGCCCAGCAGTGTGCTAAACACTGCGTGCACGCAAGACATATTCGACGACGATCCGTGTTCACGGTCAAAGATGACAACCGCGAAGATGGGGTTGAGTTGAGCTTGTGTGACGAGGGGTTGCCGCTTGTGAGCTGCATACATGATCGGGGGGCCTTGCAGCTTTCACAGGAAAACTTCTATCAACAGAAAAGGGACGGTCTGGGAAAATCAGGGACAGGTGGCAACTCTACTTTAAACACACGTTTGGAGCTCGATGTAGTAACTAATTACCGGTAATCGAACTCCCAACACAAGTTCGAAGTCAACTAATCTATACTCGGGAAAAAAAAAACAAGTCTCATGACTCATTTTCAGGAGGGCCCTGCCTGCCAAGTTGTCGCTGTTGATGGAATGTTTGGAGGCTCCAGCACACAGCTTCACACAGACGAGGCATATGAACCATGCACGAACACAGCCGAAAGCTGTGACCAAATCCCCCAGAATATGCGCCTGATCCCGTCATATCTTGCAAGCCATTAGCATTCATAACAGGTGTTATAGGCTGCGTGGTTGTCAGCAGAGGACAATGCAGACAATGCGATTGTTACATCGTATGTACCTGCATGTTCCCGAGTCTTTGCTGCCCACCCCCCCAATTTATACACCCGTGTTGACCAGCGTGGTGAAGTATGGTCAAATAACCCCCACTAACCGCATCCGCTAGTGGAATGACAAGGGTTAGATGAACGTGTGCACGCACGTGAACACACAGGAGCAGACTGAGAGCCTTCTCGATAATTGGCTAAGCCGCACGGGGCAGATCATTTGTGACACTGCCCTCCTGCATGTGCCCTTGATGTCCAGCTAATCGGATTTTGGAGGAAATGACCAACAGATGCGTCGTCTCGCCGACAGGGAGCAGGCTGAGACGGACAGCTCCATCGCTACAGACGGCACACTCGTGGCATCAGCCAACCGGCCAGCAGCCGGTACCAAACTGGAAAAGGGGGCATCTTGAGCAACGAAGCCATTATGTTTCGCGGGAGCAGAACTCGCCAGTCCAGAGGGGATCCGCCAGGGGCTGTCAGGTATGTCGTCGTCGTCATCATCATCATCGTCGTTCCTGCTGTTTGTTTTTGGCCGCACGGGTCTTTACACATAGATTGCCATTTGATATCTGCCGTTATGACGACCAAATCATCCAACACGGCCTTCCTTTGGCTATGAAAGTTTACGCTTGCAATGTCGGGCTGAGCGTACACGTAATCTATTGAGTGTCAGAGCTGAGCTTTCTTAACACCAGATGATGCTAGCTGTAATCTCCAGCGAAACGTGGAATAACATTGTCAAAATATTACTTGATACATCACAGACTGGATGGTAATATGTAGTGCAGTGGTTCGCACACAGCGCTACAAACCCAGAGACCTGAGTTTAATTCCCAGCAACGGCTAACATCAGTAGTGAAGGATGAACAAACAGCCACTTGAACTGACAAAGGGCCTTACATATTATATGGTAATTATAATGTCTATTTTATGTAAACGCTTAGATGATTAGGAGCTGAAGAGAGCCTTAGTATTTTACATCTACTAGACGCTTTTATAAAGCATATTTAATGCAGCTTGTGGTTAAGCCTGGAGGACATGTATAGCACCTTTGTCATCCCATTGCTGGATAAGGACCTCCCCATGCTGAGGGGGTTATTTGACTATACTTCACCATGCTGGTCAATTGTGGGTTGGTGAAGATGGGGAGAATACACATCTGAGTACAATGGAATTTGCTGTGCCATTCTCTGTTGGCCGCAATGTAACCTTGCAGCTTATATCAACGTGTTTGTGCAGGGCGGTCACCCATCCAAGCACTATTCAGGTGCACCCCAGCTTAGCTTTAGAAATCTGACGAGAGACCATTCACTGGTTTCTGAAATGTAGTTAATGAGCAGCTGTGAGGGTCTTTATCCCTAGAGACTGTGATCCGAAATGAACTCCACTCGACCTCAGGATAATGAGCTCTGGGGGGTCCTTCATGTATCACGCCATCTAATTTTAGTGCCCTGGGAATTAGCTCTGTGCCACACATTTCACGCTCGGATGCAACATGTCACCTGCACATACGCGATTGCAGTAATCAAAAGACAAAGGGGAACAAAAAGTTATCCCCGGTTTAAAATGTTCGGCCTGGTTTTGATGAGTTGATACATTTGAATGGAGCAAATGGCAGAGTGGTTCGCACGCTGCACTGTGAACCCGGCCACCTGAGTTTGATTTCAGGCCACGGCTAACATGGGGTGGCGAGTGATATTTACATGTCCTGGGTCTCCCCCTTCACCAACCTTCGCCAGAAAGACCCCATTCAGACCCCAAACACTCAATGTAAGGGTCACCTATGTGTTGGGTATCCATCATTGAAAATGACTGACCCTCATTCAGCAGTGGTTTGACAACTCGCTGTAATTGCTCTTATTTCATTTTAATAGCAATGAGGTGAGCACAATCAGAACTCACAACTTTCCAATTGTGATTCCGGTGCATTACCAATAGTCACCCGGCATGCATTTTCTCTAAAATGCACGCCCTATGTGTGCAAGTACTATATACGCTGACCCATGCACCTAGCTGCTAATCAATGGACGTAAACATGTGTTTGTGTAAACCACTCTCGCTCTCTCTACCTCTCAGCCCCTACCCTCACCCGCCTCTCCAGCCTCTCCCGCCACCGCCCGCCGCCCCCCAGCAGCCGAGCCTCCTGGCTCAGATGGCGAGCACCGCGGCCGGGGTGGCCATCGGCTCCAGCGTGGGGCACGTGGTGGGGAACGTCCTCACGGGGGCCCTGAAGGGAGGCTCAGAGGCCACCGAGGCCCAGCACTCCGAAGCACTTTCCCAGGTTTCTGCGGCTTGACGGGGAATCCGTGGGTCGGTCGGGATCACGTTGTTGCGTATGTCGAGATTAAATTTGCCAAATCTGCCCCTTTGAAAACATTGGGTTCTCAAGCATAGCAAGTCACCAGTGAATTAACAAGAAATTTATCATATAAAAGTTGGTATCCATAAGAGGTTTTTTTGTGTTAGATCGCGTAAATATATGTGTCGTTAAACCCGCCACCAAAACAAATCAATTTTATTTGGTTTTGCACTTTGGCTAAATTGCCGCTTTGTGTGAATTACAAATATTGCTAGATTGTGTGGTGACAATATTATATCTCTGTGGCAAAGTGGGCAAGTGCTGCCCCCTACTTGTGTGGGCCAGAGGTCACTTAAAGGAACTATAGAGGTAGGTCTGTGATATCTCATTCTGTGGGCCGTTCTCTAACAATGATGGCACAATCAGGGAAACAATCAGGGGAAAAGATAGGAAATGATACATTAATTTCTACTTTAACACAGACCGGTTGCCATTTAAAGGGCTGTTCTTAGTGAGGGATTGGAAATAGGTGTGCCAAGTGAACGACACGACGGGTGGACATCCCGTGCACAGGGCTTCATTTCAGCTGGGTCCGTCGGGGTCAGCGCCTTCGAAAATATTTACACACCTGGGACACCACATCCAGTTTTCATCCCACTTTGGCTGCGATTAATACTCAAGTGCTTAGCTCAGCCTAGCAGCGACCAGAAAAAGTATCGAGCATGAAAAGGCGAGATCATGAATCGTTTCCCCCCCCCACCCGCAGGCAGGGGGAGAGAGGAAGGGACACGCCGGCCGAGGGGCAGTGCCTCTGGGAGCTGCGGCAGTTCATGGAGTGCGCGCAGGGACAGAGGGACCCGGCCCTGTGCGCCTCGGCGAGGCACTGCGCCACTGCAAGCTCGGGCATGGTCGGTGAATCCTGCAAGTGTCCGCTTCTAGGCACCAGGTTTCAAGCTCCCTGATTCTTAGCTCCACAGGCTTCAGGCTCCAAACTCTGGCATCTGAGCTCCAGGTTCCTGTGCGCCACGGTGGCGGAGTGTTAGCTCCCTCACCTGATATACAGGAAGTTGTGGGTTCGATGCCGACCCTGGCGCCTGTATATTTGGAGTTTGCGTGTTATCCCCGTG